GTCTTTTGAGTTTCAGATGTCAGCTAGTTCTTGGGAGCCCAGAAGATAGCAGGGAAGTGCCACCTACAGCCCTGGTACATCACTCTTTCCTAACGTGGCAACTTTTAAATTCCCATGCACTGTCTTGACATGTTAAAGTCAGCATGCTCCCAGTGCTGGCACTGAGGACAAAAGCAAAATGCTCCCAGAGATCCATATTTACTGCTCTGCATGGTAGTTTTTCACGTGTATCTTTCTAAAATATTTTGGAATAGACTTGCAGTGGTGTAGTGAAGGCAATCCCAGCATGGTTAATTATGTAAAGCACTTTACACTTGAATAGCACTATGTAAATGCCAAGTATTATTTTTTGTGTTCAGTAATAATCGGTACCTCTTACACTGCTAATCAGTAGAGTGTAATCACTGATAGGAGGATTAGGAGCATACAGGGGACTTCAGGAAGGGATGGTCCCAGCCCAGAAGTGCTTTTTTCATTCTGGCTCCTGAAAGACAGCTCTCAAAAACCCCACACTAGAACTAATTGTGTTGCCATGCAGGAGAATGTCTCAGCACGGATTCTTTTCATGGACCCAGTAAACATCAGTCATTGGTTGAGCCATGGGCTGTGTGTGTATGTGGACAGCATCACAACAGGAGCATCAGAAAAAAAGTAAAATACTACATGACAGTAGGAGAACCCGTGATCCTCCTTTGCCTTCCCATCCACACTGACACTCCTTTCTTTGCAATGTTAATGATTCTGAGTATGAGCAGGAAGATGGCACTGTGGTGAAAGCACTCAGCCACAGGGGGCCATAACTTCTTCAGGCATCCTCCTGGTAGCTTAGAGACCATGCCCTCCTGTGTGTGGCACCTTCCCCATAGAGAAGGAGAACCACGCAGAGCAGGTGCCATTTGGTTTTTATGGGAATAGCTGATCACAGCTAGAGAATATGGCTATCTGGTGCAAACACAGGCACTTGTGAATGGTGATTCTTGTGTTTCTCCTGGGTTCTGGCAATCTTGTTTCCGTTCTTGTGGAGGCCTTTCTTCATTGAAGCTTTTGTGCTTTAAGCAGTTGTTTTCTTTTTTTGAACAGAAGGATACACATCATAAGGAACTGGGAATGAGGGAACAGTGAGGTCCCAAAGGCCCAGGTGTCAGGAGGACTACTGGTTTGGCTCTGTTCCTTTACCAGTGAAAGAGTAGGACTCACCTGCACACAGGCACACATTGCAATGCATGTTATAGGGAAAGCTCTAGACTCATTCTGCAGTGCTGTTCAGCCTTTTGATCAGGATGCTGTTTCAAATTGGAACACTTTATTGATTTCTTTTTAATACCTTCGGCTTGCCAAACTCTCTGCCTTATCTCAATGGATTTTGAAACTGTAAAAGAATCTGTTGCATGAGCAGGTGACTTTTGCACATCGTGAAGATCACAAAAGCATACAATTTTTTATTTTTTTTTTTAAACATGACTAAAATATAGTTTTAGAATGTGAGTTACGCTGACCAGCATTATGCTTCTCACCAGCCAGGACTAGGTGAAGTTCCAGGTGGAGATCATTAGGAAACGAGAAACGGGCATTAATTTTTAAAATGTTGCTTCATCACAACAATTTTGTGATCAATATTGGAACAGTTCTCCTTTTAACTAACCAGGCAGTAATTTGAGGAGCATGTAGAAAAAGCACTAGCTTCACCAAAGTCAGCAAATTCAGCTCACTTTTATTGCTGTGTGATGCCTTTCAAGTCTGTTTAGACCACTGTAACTGAGAACAAAATTTGACCCAATCTCCCTCCACCCTCTTCAGTGTTAGATCAAAACATACGGTGGCATAACAGCTGAAGTAATCCCAGAAATCCATTAAACGTTATACGATTTCAAATTGTAATTATCTTTTCCATTACTTTTTACAGTGATGGAGGAAAAGGGCACCCTATCCTGTCCTCCCTGCTCTGTCACATTCACAAAACCAATCAGTAATCGCTAAAACCGGACCGAGGCAAGGACTGGGTGTCTGCATGGTCAGGTTTATTCATTCATTTTAAAAACCCTGTCCCAACCTGTCTGCTCTTGTGAGATATTGGTAGGAAAAAAAAAGAAAGAAAGAAAGAAAGAAAAAAAGCCTATTTAGAATTTCATAAAATCATAGAATGGCTTGGGTTGGAAGGGACCTTAAAGATCGTAAAGCTTCAAGCCCCTGTCACATGCAGGGCTGGTATTAAACACCAATAAAATCCATACAGTAATCTGTTTCTTCATATTTCCACTGCAGTGAGATAGAAATGTTGTGTTTAACATTAATTCCTGGCCCTACATATCCCAAGCAATAATTGCTGATTAATGCAAAAATAAAGCAATCTGCAAGCAGTTCTGCATTCCAGAAGTGCAGCACAGAGACCTGCGTGCCACTGGATGCAGTTTGGCTGGAAAAAACACTGCAGCAGCACGTTGGGCTGAGCAGCCCTGTGTGTCCTGAGTGCTTGGGAACCAGTGCACCACTTCAGAGCCCGCGGAATCAATACAAGGGAGTGATCGATGCCACTGTAAAAAGGAGGGGGAAAAAAAAAGTGGTTTGATATCTCAGGAGAAAGAACATCCCACGTGAAACATGTGAAACAAACAGCAGTGTTTCACATCAGTATTCCTGGAATCTTTCAGCAGCAGGAGGCTGGAGACAAAGGCATTTGACAAGATTTCTGCTTGTTTCAGAGAGTGTGTAGTGTGTGTGTGTGTCTCCTATCTGACTGTCACCTTGTGCTGTAAGTACCTGCATTTGTTCATGCAGATGTGCACAATTACATCTAATTACATATGCTCTATCACAGCTACAAGCCCTAGCATCAAATGATCTGAGGTGCCCGAGTCAAGGCGTCCTAAAATTACTGCTGTTTTCAAGACAGCATCTGACATTTACAGAAAATTGCCCCTTGTTGAAGTGTCTCAGTCTAGATTCACCAAATAAGCACAAATAGTTTGTAATTGTCTTTTAGGCTTCGATCTGGATCTGTGCTGGTGACTCACTCAAATCCACTGCAGCTCGTTTCCTTGTTCTTGCCTCTTGATTGACCTACTGCCATGGGTCAGTGCTCCCTGCAGATACTGTTCACCTGACTTGGTCTTCACTGAATACTGCTTACTTGCCTGTATGCTCTCCAGTTTCTGTGGTGTTGGTACTCGGTTTTAGGATTCTGTATGAGTCACTGCTTAATTCCGTTGCTCGTCCTTTCTGTGTTTTCCAAGAGCATGACATCTCCTTTGATGTGTTATCATTATTTCTTCCAGTCCCACAAACCTTGTGCAACTTTATTCTGTTTCTCACCTTTGATCTCTTCTTAGCCCTTTCTCCTCTTGCTGGGATTTATCTGTCAGCTGTGCAGGTGAATAGCAATATTTAATCCTCTGCTTTTATTCTCTATACAGAGAACCTGCACTGGCGTGGAATGGGTGACCAAGACTAGGCCAAATTTGTCTCTGCCTCCTATTTCCGCCTTTTGGCTTACTGGAGAGTTTGACACTGTTAGGAATCTCAATTCTAGACCTTGCCACAGTCTGCTTTGCAGGCTCCATAGGAACAATTGTTCTCAACTCCTTCAGCTGAGCTGCAAGACTACAAAACCTACACTTCATTACCTTAGCCTGTCAGACTTTGACACCTTCATCCATGCCAAATTATGGAGAGAAGGGGTTCAGTTCCGATCCGTGCAAACTTGTGTCACCTGTGTTTGGCCAGAATGTCACTCAGATGCCTCAGACCTCACTGTTTACTCTCTGCATCATGTCTGAGCCACGTTTCCAAGGCCTGCTTGACAGACAGGCTGTCTGTCACTTCCATCTATCCGAGGAGCTGATTGATAGCGAATGATGACAGCCTGCGAGAACTTCTTGTAAGATTTCCAGATAAACTCTTACTCTTCAAACATGTGGCATGTGTTCCATACTGCTCCTATCTGCTTCTGGGACCTCTCATCATGAATTGCTGCCTTGTGTGTGGGAACATAAAGGAAAAAAAGTCACACACTTTCTTTCCCTTTTGAGTCATGTTGTGGAAGCTTGTGAATGTTTCATTTCTGAGTTTACAAGCTAAGGCTCGATCGCTGCCACGGACCAAACAAGAATTTTGGGCAGAATCTTAGGGAGGTGCTACTGCAGTAGAAAAAATCTGAATTTTGTTCATTTGGATGAAAAACCTCAGCACTGTGAGCACTGAAATGGCTGTATCACGGGCCTCATTCTGTGGGCACTTGAAGAAATGTAGGATGAGTAAGGCAGCGTGTGACACCCCTGCCCTCTATTGGTGTTGAATGGCAGCTCTGGTATGTGCACAGCGACCGGCCCCTCGATGCCCACAAAACCCATTTCAGAGGGAAAACTCTCTCTGGGACCGTGTAAAATACCGAATTAGGTCCTAAGTCCTGCTGATGCTGAACTTGGTGTGATGATGAGTTATCAGAAACATGAGGAAAAGGTTGTGTATGGAAGTGAAAAATATTGATGGGCTCAGATACAATCAGGTTTAAAAAAAAAAAGACCTTGGCAAGTTGTTTCAGAGCCAAGTCAGTTGCTGGTATAGCCTTGGAAAAGTCTGAAGTACTGCCTGTAGCTGAGAGCTCTGCAGCCCCATGCCTATAAAGCCATGCGGGCTGCCTTGTTTCACTCATTAAAACGAGTGCTGAAGTGCCTTGATACCTACAAGTTCATACATTTGAGTTAGCACAGGAGAGGCAGATGGTGTATACATCTAGATGCTAATGATCCTTGCTTGTTTTGTATCACAGGCACATCACAGATCCCACAGGGGAAGATGATCACAGAGCCATTCCCTGTGCTTTTACTTACGTTTTGTGCACTTGCATCCCACCACTCAAATGTAACAAACCTTGAGATTTAGCACTGATGTGGTCATTGTGCATTGCATCACTTGAAGTCCTGTTACTTAGTAATACCAAATAGCAACATTAAGGAGCTGCACCAGAGAGAAGAGTTGGAAACAAAGCTTTTACTGAGTCACAAAGGCTTTCAGAGATGATCAGCACAGAGAGAAGTTTGCCTCGTTAACTTAATGATTTCAGAAATAGTATGCAGTATAGATCACACTTTCTTTACCTCCTGGATACTGTATCTGTGTCCCAAATATTTTTTCCTGTCAGCAAAATAAAAATGATCATCACAATTCCGTGCAGTCACTCTTAAACTCGTTACGTGGCTGGCAGCTCCTGCAGCGTCCTGCCACTGCAAATAAGGCCTTTGTGTCTGGTCTCCACATTAGCCACATTAGTCTCTGTTGGTAAAGCTGAGGAAATACTACATTTCTTTAAAATGTCAAGCCCCTTCTGGTGTCATCAAGTGTAATTCAGTGCAATGAATAAGGTCCAGTTTGTATCCAACAAGAGGCATGGAAGATTCTTCCACTGCCTCAGAACAAGCAGTCACCAGTGACAAATCATCCTTACAGTATTGCCTTGGTTCTTCTTCCAGTTCAGATGCTGTGGAGTCTCAAACTACACCGACTGGTTTGAGGTGTACAACACAACCCGGGTGCCAGATTCCTGCTGCCTGGAATTCAGCGAGAACTGTGGACTCCATTCCCCAGGGACCTGGTGGAAAGCAGTGAGTGGCTCTCCAATAGCTCAGCAGCCTCCATAGAAAGGGCAGGCAGGCAGATGGTTGCAGTGATGCAGGTGATAAGGTAGTGATGTAACCCAGATCATCTCTAAGTGGGAAGGCTTACTTTGAGCTGTGACTTTTCACCTCCAATGAAGCCATCCATTCAAATACTTCTAGGCTTTAAAGGCTTTCTGAGCTGTTGTTTCATGTTGCAGATGAATACTTTCACTGATCAGGAGCACAGCCTAGCTAGATTAAGCTGAAAATGACAGGAATGTTTTTGTCCACTCTACCTACTGGATTAAGTTGAAGGCAAATAGCTGCTCACACATCTAACACAAACCTGGAGGAGTGCTGCCATAGCAGTAGTTTTGTGTGGCCTAAGCAGTCATGAGGCAAGGTGAGCAGGTAAGCCTGGGGTGTGGGGCAAGGCCAGCTGATGAAGTGGAAATGAAATGAAGTTTTGCTAGCTCCGGTGCTTTGCAAAGGAAGTACAAAGTGTCTTGGCTGTTCTTCGTGGGATTTCATGCATGCAGATTGACAGTGGTAGAGGCTGAGTTGAAACCAAATACGGCTCCAAATCAAATTCTCAATTTTAGGACTGGAAAGTTCTTACTGCATTTTATTCAGGGTACCAAGGTGATCAATGCAGGTTAACAAGGCTGAAATCACGTTTCAGGTTGGCATTAATCCTTGATGCATGCCGTGAAAGCCACTAACTGAAGGCAGAACACTCTTGCCCAGGTACATTTACAGGGCACAGGGCACAACTTCTTTCTTACAGAGAAGAGCATAGTATTTTAAGAAAGGTTTCACTTAGGCCAATTCTCATCCCACCAGTCCAGGCCAAAAACATGAGGTTGGAGCTGTTGCAGAATTCAAAGCACGAATAAAATAACAGAGGAACGCTCATACTGCAATTTAATCTAATGGAAAATGGTAAGAAATCAGCCCACATGCAACAGGAGAAGCTACTGAACAGCTCTCACTGGAACTTTTATTTAGGTAGATGTCTAATATAATGTTGATTGCATATATATGTACACGTACATATAGTATGTAGATATGTGTGCACGTGCATATATTTTTTTTATTACATACATTACATGATAAGCTTTTCCTGAAACATGGAGGAAAACAAATGAAAGGCTCATTCTAAAAATCTAACTGCTTTTAGTTGGATTTTAGAGGGGAAAGGTGCCCCGAATCCAGTGCTTGCTCATCTTTAGGCACTGGCCCAGTTTGTATGGAACAGGGCTTGTGCAGTGATTTGGAGGTGGCATTACAGTCAGTGCTCCGTGCTCAAGCTTTTAAATCAGAAATGCACTGTATTCATTCCAGTAGTGCCAAGATGAAGTACCCAGCAGCTTTGTGTGATCTGGCTCTTTCCTGTCTGTATATTCCCAGGGGAGTACAGCAGTGTGTTTATGGCTAATACCGTATTCTGTTTTATTTCAGCCTTGCTACGAAACAGTGAAAATATGGCTCCAGGAGAACTTACTAGCAGTGGGGATCTTTGGATTGTGCACAGTTCTGGTGCAGGTACACTGTAATACTGATTTTCAAATCCTAAGTACTCAGAACCAAATAGCAAGCAGACAGTCTGCCCAATATTAATTTAGTAATTCCAAGTTTTGCATGTTAGACTAAAACTCTCTCTCTTATGTTTTCTTTCTGTTAGAATAAGATACAGGACTGGGAATACTGCCCACATTTTCTGTGCTATAAAGCACTGTAAAGAGCAGTCACTTTATCAAGTGGTTTATCTAAGGCACACACTTGATTTAATGAAGAGGTAGTCCACAACATCCTAAGACAGAATCCTGATTATGGTAGGGTGCGCTGTCTTTTAGAGCACCAGTGTTTGTACAGTAATTTTCCAAAGAGTGCAGTCAGCTTAGCCTAAATATCTAATGTTAAAATAGCCTAACAGTAGCTTAAGTCTTCAAGCCCATTCAAAGTTCCAGGGTAAGTTCTAAGTTTAGCTGTTATTACCATAATTCTACCCTCCCAATAAACCATACTCCTTTTCAATTAATTTCAGTGAAAGCAAACAAGACTGGCACAGAGTTGTAAGTAAGATTTTCACTTGCAGTTACTTCCAGCCTAACTTTGGTCACAGAAGGGTCAGTCACCAGTGCAGAATTCTCTTAAATATCTGTACGTATCTTTAATCCAGCAATGGTGATTCTGGTCCCAGTGCAGACATGCTGGTTACAATGCTTACCCTGAAGTATGTGAAGGCTGCTCTAGAACTCTGGCACTTACAGCTGTTTGTCAGCCCCATATAGCATAAGGTCCCACTCCTGAACAGCACATTGAAGACAAAGTTTAATTTCCAGTTGCACCTCTCTCTCAAAGTCAACACATGAGCAAAAAGGATGGCATCACTAAGCTAAATTTACTCCAGATTAACTAATTAATTAATTTAAATTTTGCATGGTATAATATTGGAGCAGGAAGAGAGAATCTGGGGTCAGAAACTGGGATTCAGCTTGTGCTCTTTCTAACATTGGCTTAAGCAGGATAACATGTCTTACTTTCTTGTACGTCATGGCTACAACTTATCAGTGCAAATGCCTGACTCCTTGTGGGCCCAAATTCAGTACAGTTTTGTTCTGTTTTCCAATGTTTTAAGCAGATATGCTCAAGAAACAGGTAAGTGCATGCAGCGAGGTCATATGGCAGAGAGACAATGTAAGAAGGTTCTGTTGTTAACATGTCTCCACACTTAAAAAAAAAAAAAAAAGGCTTTTAAGCTTCTACCCAGCACTTAAGGAATCTTTAAAAGATGCATGAAAAACTCAGCAGACCATGGAGGTTTCCTTCTCACTGACTTTGATTATATTGAAGGAATTTAAGAGCAAACACCAGCTTTCTGACCAGCAGGACTGACTAATTTTGAATGGGAGAAAACATTTCAGACAATCTAAAAATGCTAATTAATGCTGCCAGCAAGTGCTGTGAAATACAGAGAAAATACCTCAGAACAGAGAAGCCTTCATCAAAGTCTGTGCTGAACTGCACTGTGTGGTTGAATGTAATTGATGATGAAAGACTTGATCCACTCTCACCTAACATGAACCGCGCTCCCTCTGTTGTTGCTGTGATGTGGTTGGTATCGCCCTAAGTACGTGACAGCTTTTGTTTTTCATGTTAATGATATTACAGTTAGAGTGACACCGTGACACAACTTGAAGGATGTACAGCAGATGTGGCGGGAGAATGTTCTTCAGTCATGCATGCTGGAAACTGTGTAACACATTCAGCCACTCAGGTTTTATTGCACAGCTGTCCCTGAAGGTGTTCCTTTACTGGGAAATAGAAGGCATTGTTCTAGGGACTACTTCCAAAAGGCAGCTAATCAATGCCTCACCACTCATTTCGTATTCATGGGCAGCAAAGATGAACAACTACGTAACCTTCTTTTGTTGTTTATTTATGAAGTAGCATGGGCATAATTCACATTCTTTCAAGAATATTCATAGATGGAATCTACCACCTAAGGAAACCTTAACATTTACGTGGTCAATTAATTAGGTGCTTAAAATGGAATTCACACCAACAAATTCTACCAGGCAAACCTTTATCTCAATGAAAATTTGTACAGCAGTGTTTGTTGTAAAGGAACAGCAATAAGCAATTAGTGTAAGTACTTCAACTAGAAGGAAAACACGATGGTCTTTCTCATCCCCTTTTTTGAGGAATTACTGTACCAGAGGCAACGCAGCAGGTCAGTATTCAGGCTGGGAGAAGCAGCCACCTCTGCCTGCTGCTTCTCTTGAACAGCCTGAGCAGAAGGAAAGACACATACAATGTTGATGAGCTACTGATGATTATGATTAATGCAGGGACAGTCTGCAGCGACTCCCCCAAAGGGATCTGTGCACACACATGCTTGGAAAAGTAAAGTGCAGTAAAGTAAACCACAGCATCCTTTGGGTCAGAGATGAAACTGCTTGTCTATCAAAACAACAGCTACAGAGATAACCACAGCCCCACAGCCAAGCAGGTTGCTACTATAAAACATTTTTGAACAAAAGACATTCAAACATTTATTTTCAATGTACCTCTTCCTAGTATCTGGTCACCTGCTTTCCATGGAGAAATCAGCTCTCCTGTGCCCTCATTGTTCATTCTGTAAAACAGCAATACAGATAAGGATAAAAGGCAGGCAGAAACTAGGAACAGAAGCAAGGAATGAGCTGGCAGGAAAAGCAGTGTGTGATGTGTCTTTCTGTGCATGAACAAAACCAGTGTAAGCATGCTTCTCCCTCTTTGTTTAGTTTTGTTTTCTTTGGTTTCAATAGATTTTCTCTCTCTGAAAAATGATTATTATTTCTTTCTCTCTTAGATTCTTGGACTCACCTTTGCAATGACCATGTATTGTCAGGTAGTCAAGGCAGACACCTACTGTGCATAGATACCATTCCCAGTCTTTTTGCTTCTCCTCCGAAGGACACAGGAGAAAACTCCTTCATGCTCATTCTTCTGACCTTTTCCCCCCCCCTTTGTACTATAAACTGTGTATAATGCTATCTTTCTGGAGATTTTGTGAATCACCCCATTTTATTGAAGGAGGAAGAAAAGAAAGATTCTGTACTTGAACTGGCACAGGTAAGAAGCAGCCTTGTCTTTGAATGGAAGAAAACCTGCAAACAGCCATGGCTCCTTTCCTGTGGCCTACAGCAAAGCAAAAGGAAGCTGCTGATGATGGGCACATCTGCAAACCAGCATTAGGAAAAGACTGCACTGACACAACCTCTGTGAAACCTGCCAGGTTGCCTTCCAGCATTTCACAGTCTGGAAGAGAAGGTGTAGAAACTGTACATTCTTCAGCACGGAAAGAAGGTACAGAATAGCTCGCACTGAATGCAGGTGTAATTTTACTACAGTTTGCACACAGCTAAAATGTCAAGAGCAAGCAGCCTTTGATCCAAGTATCTCAAGATGATTTTGTAGCCAGGAGAGGATCATCTTCAGAAATACGTTCTTTTAAAGGAGTATTTTTAATTTCAAGTGCTGCGAAGTCAGGCTTTTAATCTGAATCTGTACAGTGAGATCTGGCTGTTAAGGGAAAACAGTATTGAACAGTTATTAATTGCCAGTGGCATATAGGTGATAGTTGACTGTATATGTAATGTATGTTAGATTCATATACACCCACTGTTCTGAAAGGAGGTGAAAATAACCAGCATCTAATCTCAGAAGGTGGGAACCTTTCTGTCCCATTTTACATTCCAACTGAAATAACCAGGCAGGATTTCTTGTAGGAGGCACTATCGCTTATACCTTTGGGAAACAAGTAATTACTTTCAGCTGTATCTTCATTTCAGTAAACAACCTGTGAGTGGGCTCCTCAGTCATTCTACTATGATTTTATTTTTTATCATCTCTGTTTCAAGTTAGCCTGCCAAAAAATATCACTCATTTCCATGCTTGGAGATTTGTACTATGCTGTCAGCTGTTCCTTCCCTGAATGTCACCATTTCATTAATTTACTCTGGAAATATCATCATCTGCAGGTATGATAGAGTTCTCCTTGCTAAGGAAAAATCTTTGCACATTGCTCATTTTTCTAAGAGTTATTAAGACTTCAGATGTTTTTATGCTTAGCAGGTTTTTTTTCAGCTGTATGCTTACAACAGCCAAGGCACATCAGTCTTTGTTAGAACTGAAGTCATCTCACATTTGTGCTTTTCATACCCATCTCCCTCCTCCTGGCTTCAAAGGCTGTTGGCTACAATACGCCCACACTTTCTGGAATTTGCAGAAATCTAAGTCATTGCTTTCCTTTTGCCAAGAAACAGCCACACTGGTTGTCCCATTCCCCACTCCGCTTGAGTAACTGAAGTAATTTATACAGGACCCTTGTAGAATCTGAAGAATTAAATGCTTCCTGTTATTCAAACAATTCCCTGTCAGCACCCAGCTCCAGGTAATGCTGAAGCATCCTGGGGAAAGGAGATAGCAGGGAACAGGCTATCACAGCAAGCCACCTGGCCTGCTTCCCCCCCAGGCAGCCTTTTGAGGACCTCTCAGCTGGAGACAAGAGCCAGCCACAGTGCCCTGTTTTCACAGAAAGCCCAGTGCATCCACTTCTACTGAGCCAGACGAAGCATATATCAAGCTCAGGCACACAAGTTAACCTGTACTTCGGTGCTTACAACAGCAGGTCTCAGTCACAAGTGACATTTTGCTTACCTTGATTTAAGGCAATTTCCAGCAGTAAAGCTGGCCTCACCAACCTACAGTATTGAACATCTCCTTAGCTCTAGCAGTAACCCTTCTCTGGACCTGCACCACCAATGAATCTAACTCTCATTTATGCCCCCTTTTAGGCATCACCCCCTGCAGCACGGGGCATTTAGCTGTGCAAAATAAAGTGAAAGTAATGCACTATTTTTGTGTATGTATCATGTGGCTTCCCAATCACAAGCTATAACAGCCTCACCACCACTAAAGGCTTTTATTACCGTGCCAGCAAGCCACAAATGAGGACAACATGTGACTGAAGTTAAACAGTGAGTATCCCAGTGAGTACAGACAATCTGTGCCTTGAGCAAGACTTACTTGTGGAGTTGTAATCACGGTGGGCTTGATGCTCTTTGCTTCTTGAGCCCAGGCTGGCTGTCAACAGTTGCACTCTTGGAGCAGTGGTAGAAGTTTTTTCCTTTCCTTTCTCTCTCCATTTTCCTTAACTGCAGACAAACAGCTGTAGCCTAGATGTACCATGTGTGAGTTTTTCCCGTGATTCTTAGTTTGTACTCACTGTTTGCTTCTGCTGACAGCTCTGAGTTTCCAACACTGAAAAGCAGCATAACAGAATGATGAACACATTAATAAAACATTGATTTTTTAGGAAAGATAAAAGTAGACAAGTCTATCTGTAGTGATCCCAGCCATTAAAAATTAACAGATTGACAGCAGGCCCGATGGCTCAGCTGATAAGAGCAAACCGTTGTGCAACAGAGCTTCTGCAGAAGGCAACACTCATCAGTTTGCCTGATGGAGATGTAGGGACAAGACATCACAGGCCTCATCCTGTGAGCCTCCCAATAATGCATGCTGAACTCTTAGAGCAGACTGCTAGGCAGACTTTCAGCTACACCTACAGAAGTAAAAACACAAAATGAGAAACAGGGAAGACACACTGCGTTTTCTGGTTCCCTCTAATCATGTGCGACACTTTAGGCATCCTTACAACAAGACAAACTGCCTCAGTTTTCAAAAACATGTATCTACAGACAGTATGAAAGCATTCACTTTGTAAAACCTATTGCAACAGCAGCACCTACTGAAAAAAAACCAACAAAACTCACTGCCAATAGAGGTGCTGGTGCAACTTATCACTAATTTGAACTGGACTGTTTTCTATATTTGATGTTATTGACTCTCTTCATGCAGGTCTAGCAGATGTTACGGTGCTTAAAGCATTACCAGCACAATCCAATTTCAAACTTCTGAACATACTGACTGTAACACGCCTCAGCTTTATCATATTTCTTTTCAAAAGCATTACATCCTTTTCCTCCTGATGAGGTCAGACTGCTTCGTGTTGTGTAACAGCAGCAATTCTTTTTCTAAAAAGAAAAACCAGATTGTTCCATATTATGTATTAAAACATGTACAAAACTTGACATGGAATTGGTTGATTACAATTACCCTGTAGTACATAATGCCTAGTGCTCATAGTGCATTTATGCAGAGTAACACAGAAGTCATTCCAGTTGCTTCCTTTTGTGTTTTTGTCACTTGCATAGTAAGGTCTTTTATATTATTTTCACTCATTTTTAAACGTGAAGGAGGACTCAATACATTTAAAGACAGAACCAAAGGCAACAAAGAGCACAAGGCAGAGAACTCCTGATTTAAACTCCTTGCTCTTTCTGCTTAAAAACAAGATATGAAGGCATATGGTGCACAGCTGGACCTGAATACAGCAAGACCAGGATTTAGCTTTTAGAGTCAGTCCAAAATACTTCTGGCTTTTCATCTTCACAATTATAAGAAATATATGTATGTATATTTAAGAAAACATTTTTTATTTTCCTGCACAGCAACTATCAGCAGCAGCCAAATTGTATTGCTTGTACCACAGAATTATTTAGCTCTAGCATATTATAATGCACAATCACTGAAATTCACTCCAGTTTGCATTCTATGAGTATTTCTTTACTCCTCCCCCTCAAGTTACATCAACTTGTACAGGTTTATTCTTCCATTTAATAATCTCCATTTGAATGCAGCACTGTATGTATGATTTGTAAAACCAAGAGGGAGAAACTGCACCGGAGTTGTACAAATGCATTTTCCAGCATCAGCAATCTGGCTGCAGCGTAAATCCACCCAACCCCCTCACTGCTCACAAGCTGATTTCCATTTCCCCATTAGAGTCCTTAGTGCATGTGGCTTCAGGCTGCTTCTTCCCCCATTCATAGGCAGGACAGGAGGTTGTCAGCATGGAAGAAGTTAATGCCCCTCACTTACCACTCGGCTTCACTGCTGTGCTAGATAGAAATGTGGCACTGAAGGTAAGCAGGAAAAAAAAAGAGGAAGAAAAAAAACGTCGACTATGGCATTTATTTTAAAACCCAACTCATTATTAACTTTGTCCACAAGGATTTGTGCTATGTGTGAATGATCTTCATAGCTACTTAGGCAATTCACAGTAAGAAAACAAGTCAGGACTCGCTATGGGAAATTGTGTTTGGATTCCATTGTGAATTCTCTTAGATTGTCACCTGTATCTTACCACAGTGGGCAGATCTCCTCAGCTCTTTGGATTTTGTCACTGCAACAACGATTATACATTTTTGTGCATTCATATACAGAACAAAATTGAAAATATACATTTTATTTTTAAAAAAATTATTAAATATTCTTTAAACTTTACAACAGAATGTCTTTTGTATTCTTTTTAAGAAGCTACACTGCCAGCTATACGAGTATATGCATAGCCAAAGGTGGGCCAGCATGCACTGTACATGAGTTTAAAAAACAAAAAGCAGCATACTTGTTTTTGTCATTTCTCATTACCTGTCTTTGATTTGATCTATCCTTCGTTATTGATTTTTTCTTTATTTACACAGCTTACCCATTGCCAGGTAGATTTATACTCCCTTCTGTTTCCTCTTAAGGGCAATCTCAAATTATGTGGTAGTCGATACAGGTAACGCTTCAGAAAATATTGGGGGATCAGGCTTAATAATGTAACAAAAAGCTGCACACCCCAAACCAATTGTTATGTGTAGAGCTCATCTGTCACTGATAATTCTGAAAGTGAGTAACTTCTCTTTTTCTGAGGTAGTTGCTTATACTCAGAAATTACTTAGGAAAACAGAGGAAATTAACACCAGGCAGTGTTACAGTGGAATGTCAGAGACTCCTACTCCTGATCTCCTGTGTCAAATCAAAAGGAGTTCTGCTTAGCCAAGTACCTTGTCTGATACTGCTTTTTTGATTTACTGCACCCTTCAGACACATTCCCAAGTGAGCTCGCCTCTAAATTCGGTGCCTTCTGAGCAATGCAAGCTAATGAAAGGGTAGATAGACACAGTGTGAAAATGGAGAACCAGACAGCTTGGAGATTGTTGCAGGAAGCCTCACAAAGCTGGCGGACATTTCTTCCACCCTCAGGCCTGCATTCCTTGCACTTCCTTCATCCTGTTAAGTGCACCACTAGATGGTCTCACTGACCACAGCTGGAGTCCTTTTCTGAATTCTGAGAAGATTGCCACTTCAGTCTTCTATTCTAACAATGAATTTCACTATATGTTAAAAACAAACAAAAAACCTGTCATATAGAGAGATATTTTAATGCGTTGCCTTCCAATTTCACGTAGTCACCACTGAGTCTATACTTCAGAAATGCTGAAATATTATTTAATGAATATTATGGAAATCTGTGGGCAAAGAGCAGCTCTGTCACCTTCATAGCCTAATTTGTTTCCCCACTAAGGTTTTAACCCGGGAAATACAGATTACTATTGATTTCCAGGATCCCATTGTTTCAGAATTCAAAGACCAGTGTACCTTCCCCAGCAGCTATCCTAGTTCAGTTGTCTTTGCTTCCTGAACTACACATCAGCACAGACAGGTGTTTTTCTATTTCAGTCGGCAACAAGCTGACATTTCAGCTGACATCCTGCTTATTTCTCTCAGATGTACTCAGAACAAACCAGGAATTTCAGCTTTAGCTGATTATACTCACTGTATAGGTTGAGTACTTTCTGTCCTCATGGCACTGCGGCCACAAAAGAAAACAAGCTAAAGGTAGCAAATAAAACAAGAATGTACAGAGAATGCTTCCAAAGAGACTTAAGGGCAGCCTATAAATCTTCATCCCAACTTTTGGCTTGAGACATCTGAAGTACAAAATACAGAGCCCTATATGTTTCTTACTTTCTGGTATGTTAAAAAAGACAAAGAATCTATCGTTAGTAACTTACCAAGCAACTGCAATTGGAAAGGCTGTTTCCCAGCAGTGTCTATGTAAGTCATTTTACCCAAGGCTATGCTTTTTTCTTTTTTCTTTTTTTTTTTTAAATTATTTCCTTATAGACATGGGTATGTTATTCTGTTCACTAGAAATGGTGATTTTTGTTGACCTGGCCAAACCCCTCATTTTACATTCTCTCAAACAGCCAGAAAGCATTCATTACACCAATGCAAGAGGGCAAAGTGGGGTTCTTGAAAGCTGCCTCACAGTGGATGTTTCTTTAGTGAAGAGATGTCCAATCCACTGATACCGTTTCTGATGAAGTTGTTTGGGCAGAACATTTTGTTATGACAGAGTTGCTTAACACAGACTTCCCTGTACCAGTGGTTAAAGGAATAATTTAAAAGCATGGGATCCTTTATACAGTAGAAACTTCCCACTAGGTTTCCACAGGACTATTACAGGATGTGGTTTGAATCACAGGCAACAAAAGAAAATATATAGTTGTATATATCTGTAAAACAAAGTAAGTTTTGTACAAGGTATAGCATAAAAAGCAATTATTAACATGTACTGCCTATGTATTTATTTCCCCATACTGACAGTGAGAAAAGTTTAAGTGTAAAGTACTCATCCTGGAGATAAATTACTACAGAAATAAAGGGATTTCGGGAACCGGTTTGTGAAAGTCTATTCAGATGCACCTCACCTCCCTCCTCCACGGAGGCCTTTCCTCAGTCATTGATGGACACAATTAGACAATTCTGATAGCACCCAAGATACTGAGATCAGCCTCAGCTCACAAACATTCCCTCTGCTGTTTTGAAAAGCTCACCTGCACCCACACAGTACTGAGGGGATGAGCAGTGTAGTCATCCCCACATTTTTCCTTATGGCAAAGCTAACTGTCCAGGTAACTTCTACCCCAACAAATCCACCAAACAAAAGCCCTACACCGAAATCCCACTGTGCTTTCATTTCTGAAGGAACTGAACTCTTCCTTCCCACCAAGGAAGTTAATTTTATTTACGGACTGAGTTAAGATGAAGCATTTGCAGATCTTTAGGAAAAGAACATTTCAGCATGGAGCTGGTTCTGGTGCTTTCTTGGAAGCTCCCCTCTTTCCCTCAGTGTACCTATACCAGATGCTGCTTATGACAGTCCAAGTCACCATGATTCTTTACAATCAGGACATCACATAGCCCTCCTCCTTGCCACCAATTGCTACTGGTTTGCAATTGCAGGAGCTTTACCTGAAAGTGACACTGGCATTAGATGAGTAAGGAGGCGGGGTGGGGCTGCAAGCAAGGAAGGGCTGTTGGGGAAATTCTTTTTGCTATGAGCTCAGCTGCAGGAACTTGACAGTATGTTAGAAAGAGAAACAGGAATGTTTTGCCCCCAGAGTCAGAAGCACTTTGACTGTTCTAGTGAGCAGCAAAGTTGTGGCCTGGGCCTTTCAAGAACAGAGATGCCCAAAACCTCATAGTTGAAAGTAGTCCTACATTCTGGGGAAGAACAGAAATTGTGGACTCAGACCTGTATGCAGCTGAAGGCACTGGGGATCTACAAATGCAAATACTGGAGTACATAAATTGAATGAATGTCGTATCATTACCCACTTGCTTTCCCTAAACTAAATAACTTACCAGCTTGGAAGTACAACTTGTTGTCACGGAGCCTGCTTGATATTTGGTGCTAATAAAAATTGAAGTTTTAAATTTCTATCCTGTGAAGTCCGTGCATTCAAGTTCTTCCTTATTAATCACCTTCTTATGTCCAACTGTGCACCACAGATGGCTAATGTGACACAGTACATTCTTCACTACCAAAACGTTCTTTGAAATAAGTCCTTACATGTTTAAAGGAATTGTTATCACATGGAAAACTGGAGTAATTAAAAAACTTCCTGGAGATCACCCATGCTGACGGAATCAAGAGTTAATGTACATTCAAGAAATATACTTATGTACCTTCTTCTGAGGATCAGAATATTCCAGTGCAAGCAATCTTTGTTTTTAAAGGATGACACAGGACTCCAATTTATGTTGTTTATGTTTGCACCAAGAAAGTCAAGGAAGAAAAGGGACACTAAAAAATAACAGATATTAAAAATAAAAAGCCCCCACAAAAACCACAGACGCAGAATATGGGTGAAAATGGAAACTGCCCAAGAGCTGGGCATGCAGTTGTAGTCAGCTGAGCAGTGTTCTTCCTTACCATATCGCACAACGGAGCAGCATCCCATGAAATACACGGTAAGCCCTTCACAACAACACAAAAAGATGCTCCCAGAACTGAATCTCAGCCACAGTACATGTAAAGTACACAGTACAGTAAAATCTCTCTACAAACCATCCCACCCAATCCGTGTGATTTAGCAGACTGAGAAGTTCTGAGTTTTGTGTGAACGTTCAGGTGATGGATTCTTGTCTGTAGATGCCACAAGTCAGATGTACGTAAGAAAATCTGCGATGTCTCACTGATGCTGCAGTCAGGAGCAATCAGCTGATCCCTGGGTACAGTCTTACCACCTCATTCACTCATACAAGTTACTTCCTAGTAGAGGCACTGCAGCTGATATTGCCACCCGAGAATGGGAAGCAGTCACCAACCCCATCCTTAGTATACAAGGTCAAAAGTATGCATATAAGTGTTCAGTGCTGTTTTGCTCACCTTTTCTCTTTGATCCTGCTGTTGTTCCATTCCAGCTGCTTGCCTGTCCTTTTCCAGTACTCCGACAGCAATTCCATCAGCTCCCCTCCCTGATGTTTTAGGTTCACAGAGCTTAGGAAAGGGCCTGGATGATGAAAACAGTTACAAGGAGTACAGAAACTGATTTCTCTTATCTCCTCCAGCCTTCAGTACTCCTGGCCTCCCAGGAGATCAATCTATGGAGAAGTGAGGGTGAGTTTATATATAGCTTAAACATCTGAAAACTGCTGAGATCCATGACGTTTTGAGAACTCAGCGCTTGACAGCTGACACATCACTGGCTCTCATGGAGCACGGTGTCCTGCAGGTTAGAAGGTTCCTTAACATCAGTGCAATCACACAAAATGTCCGGGTGTTCAGTCACACAACCAGACCTAGCACCAAGTAGCTGAGTGCCCTGCTGCCTTATTTACACAAGAAGCACTTTTAAAGCACTAACAGAAATTCACACAACACAGCTCCGATGATGTAAGCTTATTTCATTTTCATATTCATCCAGTGACCTCTCACTGAAAATTAGAGATTCCCTGAGAGTTTTATAGCATGAAGTGGCAAATTAAATTGAAATTGAGATAATCCCCCGAAATGTGTACACAAGTAAAGCAACTCCAGATACCTTTCACACTGGCAAGTTCTTGTATAAATAAGAAAAAGTAATCTCCTTCAATGAAGGTATTCTCAAACCTTTCAGTTTCTCTGAAGACATCCCCAAATAAATCACGTTGTGTCTACACTATCATCTGCAGTGGGACCACTCAGATCTCTATCAGAGAATGAATTAATATTGAAATGTGTTATATGAACCAGAAGCACCACTGAATTTCCCAGCCAGGAGTTAAAAAAAAGAAAAAGGCAGCAGTGTGAGGCAGCCGTTTTCTAATCTCATCTGTCTGCCCTACTGATAGCACACAGCTCAATATGGTTTTTATTTCAGTATTTCCACATAGCAATATTTGCTTGTGTGAAAGCTTAAACAACATATTGGTTCATGTAAGAAAGTTGCAGAGCAATTCGGTTTTTTTTTCATTTTTTCTTCCAGTTTTGGTTAAATTGTTCCAGTGGAAACAATTAATAAATTTTCATAATAAATGAAAAAATGGAAACCCTGAAGGAATGACATTCTGCATATACAGACACATAACACGGAATTTAAGCCCCAGGAATGAAAGCAGATTTGTCGGCAGGAAAGGTTGTGCTGCAGCTTCATTTATGTCTTCAATGCAATTTCTGAAGCAGAGAATGTGATGATTCCCCAGGGAAATTGCACAACCACAATGCCTAAGCATATTTAAAGATTATCATTCAGGGCTTTTAAATCCAACTCTGTTTCCATTAATCCACCGAGCTGCCGGCCCAATCTCACGTTGGCAGGCTTGCTCACTCTTTAACAATAGAAAGCTTATTAAATATTAAGGTCTTAATCTTAAGTACTTCTGTATGTCTGAGAAGTCCTAAACAGTGCATAGGAAACAAACATTTCCCAACTAACAAAAAATATATAAGGGGTGGTATTAGGTAAAGGTGGATGTCCCCACACTACCAGAACTGTGCAATAAATCCATTCACCTTAAAGCAGTCGGTGTGTCTCTGCAGCCACATTCTGCCCTGCTTGCCTAGACACTGGGTTAATTGCCCTACCTTGAAGGACAAGAGCTCACTTCTCTCCTGCCTTGAAATGCCAGCACAGCCACAAGAATGAGGTTTGTGGAAGAATTCAAAGTACTCAACCCAACCTCAGGACAGTTTCAGATAGCAAACAGTGGTCAGACGGGCAACATGCCCACAGGGTGCAACATGGATATTGCCAAAAATGAAAGAAAGGGGAGCTTAGACTCTGTGTGTATGCATCCATACTCAGGTCAATCAAGTCCAAAATACTGCATTTAGTGTTGAATCATTGAAGAAACACAGTTATCATTTCTTAGAAAGAAGTTCTGCAGGTATTGCATTAAAGTGAGGGGGCACTGAGAGTTAGAAAACACATAGGGCTACAAAACCCTTGGTGGGGATAATACAGCATGCAGACGTACAATGTAAGTCATTCTGTTCTGCAAGTCAATCCCTTTGTTAACAAGGGATTACCATCACAGCATTTGGTATCATTTACACACGTACAACTCATGTATTAACTCCTATATATGCAAAACTCAATTCGACGATTCGCTCCCGCAGAGCACTTTGTCAAGGTTTCTACATACAAGAATGTCAGTACATCAAATTTAAATATCCCAAGGTGTCCTGAATGACTGCAGGGCATGGCCATTCACAGGAGCCCAGAGGAACGTGGTTTCTTCATTTACCCACAACTCAGCAATCTTTGCCCTTCTGCCAGCAGCCTGTACAGCCACACAGACTACAGGGAAATGTAAGGCCTGAGAAGCGACCAGTGTGAAACCAAAACAATATTCTGATTCTTCTGTAAGACTGAAAGGCCACTCCTTTAAACAACTGCAGATTTGGTAATGAAATGATCTCCCTGTAATCCTATCAATCCTTTGTATGTGCAGTAGCTCAGCTTGTTTATGCTTTACTTCATACTTGGCTATCTGTTTTATAAGATGCCTCTAGGAGTACTCGCTGTAGGTGCTTACAAATGCTCCTTTATGCAGAAAATAGCAAACCCAAACAATGGAATCATTTTAATGGACTTAAGGTACACAATAGTTTGAAAGAAAATAATGTGTTACTTACAGAAGCACGGGAAGTAATTATTCAGATAATGTGCAGAACAGTCTCTGGGACATTAAATAAAAATAAGCATCTCAGCTTCCTTCTAAATACATTCTTTATAATCTCCTAATAGGTAAGCCAAATTTGTTTTGCCATAAATTCTACGCACCCTAATACGAAGCTTGGCAGATTTACGATCATTTAATTTCCTTCTTTAACCTTCTTCATTCTTAAAGTTTTGTTTAACATTGGCAGAAATGAGCTAGAATAGCTCAAATTAAGTAGAGATCAACCATGATTATGAATGGACAGTTACCAGCCTCTACTCCAAATACTCCTGGAAATAAAAGGGATTCCTTCTGCAAAGCATTACTGCTCCTCAGACCAACATTTGCCTTTCCAGACAGACTGTACATATATGGTACACAACCCACGACAGGGCTTGCAAACACGATGTGCTTTTTAAAGTGTACCCTAACCTACAACGTTGTAGGGTTTAATTTTGTGCAAATAATTAGCCTCATCTTCACATTCCTAAATAATTTCTGATGCACATTTTCAATAGCAATGGAAAAGGACACGGCACAAATAACTTCAGAACTAAGCCAGACATCCCTCCTCAGGGCGATGCACATTGGAGCTCACAAAACACTGCCTTGCAGCTGAACATCAGGAATTTTGCAGTCTGACAGTAAAGTTTTACAGTGAAAGAACAGCGTGGGATGGAGAGATGCCCTTAGGGAACCCGAGAGCTTTACAGGTGCCTCTCACTTCCAGCTCAGCTTTTCCAGTCCAACACAGCTCCATCAAAAATTCAAAAACACTTCCATGTGCAGTGAGTCACACTGCTGCCCTGCTTTGCTCATGCTTGTAGACATTGTAGATGGCATCTCCCTACCATCGTGATGAAACTGCCCAAATTTAAGTGCCTGACACCTGCACTATCAAATGCTTCTCACAAAGAAAGATTTTATTATTTCAGGTTTGTTCTGAAATTAGAAGTAAATTCTTTCAAATGTGACTGTTTACTTCCCTGTAGCAGAAATGCTAAGTCACGGCCTGAAGCAGTGATGGAGCACCTGATGGGAAGGCAGGGCCAATACAGGGGAGCCCAGGTGTATGCAATGTACGTGAGTGACTGGAAGAGGTGGAGCCAAGATCCACCCCTTCCCAGACCTCATTTAAGGGTTGGCACTGGAGGCAAAGGGATGTTGTTGAAGATTCCTGTGTACTGGAGGCCTTCTAAGGGTAAGTAGCTTCTTTCCTTTATTTCTATGCTTTTGGCTGCTGTGTTTGGGCATATCCTCACTTGTTACAGCCTAGTACTTTTGCTTCTCTGCTGGCATTGCCGTGCTTACTACTGCCATTCCAGAATGGCCCCAGATGAGTGATATGATGCCGCTAGTGGAAATGTCTTAAAAAAGGGAACAAAAGGATATTATTGTGAAAGCAGCAGGATCCATGAAAACTAGCTGAGCTATACAATTGCACAGTACTTCTGTATGCTCAGTAATGCTTTCTTTTTCATCACACAAAACCACTTGCTGCTCTGTCCTTCCAAACAATGCTTATATACTTAATGCAGGAAGGGTGAAAGGCACCATTACTACTCTTGAGTTCTCCCATTCTCACTTCTTCAGCGCAACTGCAGGAGATGAAGCTGGATCATGTTTTCATTTGAGGTTCATTAAAAGAATGGCAATCAGGCTGCAGCTGTACTGCTAAAAATCTGTTTTAATTATAAACAACGATAAAAATCTAAGAACCCAAATGGGCTCCCAACACACGAGTCAGTGGAAGAGACTCCAGATCCAGCTTTAAGTAGTAACAGTGCCTGAACACCAGGAAAATCATGCCTTTACCTATAAACAAAATGGCTTGGCACAGAAAGATAAGCAGTGGTTTGGCTCAGACACCTCACCTGCACTGAGCACGCAGTGACTTTCAGAGACAGAAGTACATCCTCTGGAGCACGTTCTTAGGTGAGGTTAACAGCACAAGGTCAGCTGTGCAAAGGAATCAAGCAGAACCTTCTCACTTTCATTTTTTTGAGTGAAATGCAGGCAATGACCAGGGCACTGGAAGAAGTGTTTTAATGCTGTGCTGGAGAAAAGATGCCTCAGAGGAAAAGCAGTCTCTCTAGCAGCGTGAGGACAGAACTCCAATACCCTCCTTTTAAAGCGCATAACAGTGACTACATGGCTAGGAAATAGCAGCTGGATTTTTCAAAAGCATGCTGTCTTCAGCTTTCTGACTTACTGCAGCTGTTAATTCCTCCTCCTGATGGTGCAGATCACTATTTCTGTTTATTCTGTCTAGATTTATTTGTCCCTATATCCATAAGTAAAGCTCTTTTCAAAGCTGTTCTTCCTTAACCTGTGATACAGGGGAGGAATAGCAGCATGCTTAACTTGACCTCTGCGCACTCATGCATGCACAACAACTTGTTGTCAACAAATCATTAAGCTTTTCTTCAAGTACTGACTGCAGAACAGTGCCCGTGAGGAAAGGGGCCCTGCTTTGTTCTGGTTTCTGATGACTGCAGTAGAGGCAGGTAATGGGATAGAGAAACCTTAGCTCTGTTTGACTTTGTGACAGGCTTACTATGTGACACTGAAAAAGTTACTTTTCATTTGTTTTTCTTCCATCCTTTGTCTGTCAGTCCTGTTGAAAGCTGTGCTCTCTTTGGAACACCATTCTCTACACAGCATGTTGTGTATCTCCTGCCTCTTTTCTGCTCTGGGAACCCTACCTGCACTTTCAAAGCAGTTATGTCCAACAACCCAAAATTCCTGAATTCCTTGCCAAGGAAAGGGAGAGAGAGGAAGGTGGCTTCTTAACTACTTGATAAATGAGTTTAATACTGCACATGCTTGAAATTCAATTTGTACACCAGTATACATAACTCAGAAGGCAGTGAGTATTTACAGTATTCACTTTGTGATCCACAAAACTGACTGAATAACTTAATTCTCTGCCAAAAAGCACTGGGTGAAGTCATCAGAAGAGTAGCCTTAGTTTTTTACAGATACACTGGCCAAGTACACAGCTTCAATTTTGCCAAAAAATTTCATATTCCTTGGCTCCAAGAAAGATAAGGCACAGGGAAGACCTTGAAAATGCAGAGATTTGGTTTTGTTTTGGTCAGTGTAGATCTATTCTCACTCCTGTAGGAGTGGCAAAGGAGAAAGCATCTCCTCTGAAGGCAGTGGCTTCCCTCCATTCCCTCTCACTCATTTCTCTCAAACAGCTATGAGAACTCTGCTACCCTTTCCTGTACGGTCCACCTCCTTAAGTGATGCAGGTAAACTCAACAGCAACTGCTGACTGGAGGAGATGAAGTCTGATGTGAAACCTGGACCTCACTCAAGCCAAATATTTGAGCACTCTGCGTCAGAGCAAACAGGCAAGTCCTCACTCTCCTAGGGAAGATTAATATTCTCCATGACTTTATTTATATAATTTTATCTCTTATCAAAACAACAGATAAATCTTGTCACATAAAAAACAAAACTCCTGAAGCTTACTGCACGTTCTCTCTTTTATCAGTCAGTAATCCCAAGCGCTAAAACAAATACCTTAGAGGCGTGATTTAGCCCTCAGTGCTTTAAAATAGCCAATAAATGTCTAAAGTGGGCTTTCAAGACATGAGCTCAGCCAGTCTCCTCTGTACAAATGCATCCTTATGTCAACTACAATTTCAGCGTTGATATGAATGAAGAAAGAAGGAATTAGATGGAATTTAAAATCCCGACAAATCCTGCTTGCTGCAGAAAGTCCATCTAAAACAATTCCAAGCTAACAGCAAAAGCAATTTAATTTTAATAGAAAGTTCTGGGTTAAAAAACATAAGCAGCATGCAAAGACCTGATGCAGCAGACAACTATTTAGTATTGTAATTCTAAAGGCATCATTGAATAAAATACTTTCTGAAGTTAATTCAAAATGATAGCAGCAAGCTACCCAGACTCCAAAAATCAATCTGCCTGTAAGGGTAAGCTGCATCTATAGTTGGAGAACATGAGACAACATATTTGCCAAGAAAGATGTGTGCCTCTCTGTGTGCATTTGTGGAACTTGAGTGAGTTCATACAATCATCTGAGTTAGAAGGAACCTTTAAAGGCCATCTGGTCCATCTTCCCTGCCGTGAACAGGGTCACCTATGCTACATCAGGTGCTCAGAGCCCTGTCCTGCCTTCCCTTGAATGTTGCCAGGGACAGGACATCCACCACCTCTCCATGGTGAATGCAGCCTGTGCCAATGCCTCATGGCCCTTATTGTGGAAAAAACTGTTTTCTTACATCCAGTATAACTCTCCCCTCCTTTATTTTAAAACCATTCACCCTTATCACAACAGGCCTTGCTAAAGAGTCTGTTCCCTCCATTTTATTTTATTTTTTTTTGTAGCTACCGTCAATTACTTCAAACATCCCCACATGGTACACTACCAGCTGCAACTCAAATGCAGAACAAAGGAATTTCGACTTTCAGATAGCCAAATACATCAGTTTTCTTTTAAAGAAAACAAATAATGATTATTAGCGCAGAGTCTTTTCACAGAGGAGTGTCAAGTAGTAGAGTTAAAACAACATGACTGTTTTACTCATAGAGCTTCCATCTTGACAACTGGGACAGCAAATATGTCCAAGAGGGAAATCAGAACAGAGGTAGTTGCCCTGAGCAAAGCTAAGCTTTCCCACCCTATCACAGAATTACTGTGTAACTGCAGGGATAAGGGAGCCAGTTTGGCAAACAAAACAGCAGTTCTTTCTGTCCTCCCTCACTGCAGCTGCACAATGCTCCCAAGCACCTTCCCCCTAACTCCTGCAGCACAAGAATGCAGATATTGCTGCTGCTGGGTCTTCATCTACTCATGGCTTCAAGTCTAAAATCAGTGGACTTTTTTTTCTCTAATGTTTATTAGGTTTTGGGTGAAAACAGACATGTTCAATCCTAAGGAATTTCTTAAGTTGGGCAGACACTGCACATTTGCTGTTTTCAGTCACAGACCCATTCTTCACAACTAGAAAGAGCACACACCAGAAGCTCTGGCGCACTGGAGGAGACCTCATTGAAAAGCCTACTCAGACCATTTCTAAGTGCAGATTCTAAGGAAAAATAGAAGAAGAAACTAACAACTAGCAAAAATTATTGATGTCCTTAGGGCTTAAGGGTTTTTCTTTGGGGTGAGGTTGAGCTTCTGTAATACATCCAAGCACATGAAATAAGGGAAAACAAAATACTCAGTCTTACCTTTTGGAGCAGGATGAGAAGCAGAGGTAATTGTGACATACAGGCTTTACACGGTGGTGTAAACCAGTGAATGTCAAAATCTTCTGACTTCGACTTCTTTCCCCCATTCTTTGAGGAAGGTGAAGTGCATCACTCAAGCAATATCCTGCATATAGCAAGATCATCACAGCAAAAGATGAGAACTGGAACATACTCCAATCTACTGTGGCTGCATGTGCAGAGAAACACAACCATCCTACTTGGCTGATACCAAGCCACTGATTTCAGAATCACAAAGCACACAGTCTACTGCTGGAAAGTCTGTAGCTTCCTGCCACTGCATCACACCTGTTGCAATTAGTTGCTTCAGGTGAATGAAATTAGGAGAGCTGGAAAGTTTCTAGAAAATCAATATTCTGCTCCTGCACACTGAGCACTTTCACATGAGCTTCGTTAACGACCTCCAAAGCAACATGTGAGCATATGACGCAGTTCTGCTCCCACCTGAGAAGTCGCGCACATAGGGGCAGATTTTAGTTTGTTCTATGCTTTTCCTTCCCACACCAGGTAATTACTAAATCTTACCTTATATAAATTCCATGTGATGGATGGATCAAATGTGACAACCTTTGTGCCCCACGAAAGCAACTCCCAAGTGGCCCTTTGCTTTGCTTTCAGCAGCTGATGTGGAGAATGTAAAATAACATTGCTTTCAATTTTGAGTCTTGCACTCCATTCATCTGATTTTTTTTTTTTGTTACAATTTTTAATAACATTTTATTTACAAAGTAATACACATAAAGACAGATTTTCAGCTCTTAATCTCAAATGCTAATGCATGATAAGTGCTCTTATTTATTTTAGCAACATTTTGAAGAATGAGTGTTAATCAAATTCTATTCTTTCCTAACTCCAAAAAGCAAAACATGGGGAAATGCAATTGGGGCCACATGTAAGAAAGCTCTGCTTGACATCAATTAGGTAATTGATACTGTTCATGGCACCTGAGATCTTGCTGTAGCATATGTTAATTTGTTCCTATAACAGAGTCAGGTGACAGAGCACAACTTTTTGTCTACTTACTAGTACTTTAGAAAACTGATAGAATATTCTGTTGAAATAAGCACATTTCTGCTTTACTGCTTGCTTCATGATTTTTGCTGCTTTAACAGGAACACCAGATATTTTTCCCCATCATACCTTGATTCTTTAAGTCCAATATCTTTGGCCCTGTAAGTACTTCATTTAAGAAGTATTTGCTTCAAAGGAAAAACAGACAGAAATTTTTTTCCCCACTTTACCGAAAAACGTCTCCATGTACCACAAAGCAGTGCTTTCTGTTCTTTTTGAAGCATAGAAATGAAAGTCAATTGCCCAGTACCACGGTTCTTACAGCACTACCAACACAACACTTTCGCCCATTTCTGCCCTTTGCTCAGCTTGCTCCTCTTGTCAGAAGGAAAGAAAAAACCAGATGCCCTACAGAACCCACCTTTGTACCAGCATCTCTCTCGTGTCATCTTCTCATCCGAGCAGTGAGGTATAAATTTCAAGAGAAACTTGCCTTCATCATGGGTCACTGGTGGTACACAGCTTTTTTGCATTCTGTGATATCTAACAAAACACAAGTTGACACTGCCACACATTGAGAAATTAAGCGATCACAAGATAAATCCATTAGTAGCAAGTCTTCATTCGGGCGTTCAATCAAATGCCTGCCTGGTATTTTATTTTCTGAGAACTTCATGCTAAAGAACTGTGCTTACTCTGTTTCTTTTTAACTGTTATTTTTAAAGCAATAAGTGTTTTACCTTTAGAGACAAAAAGGCAAAATCCTTAGCCTCATGCCATGAATTGCTCAAACTCACAATGTACTTCTCCTCTGGTATTTATTTTTCATGATTTAGCAGGGTTAGTTTGCTCTTTCTGCCACACGTATGTATTCATTCCATCTCTGAGGATGCTAAAGACAGTTATCCCTAGCACAGCTGTACTCAAAGACAAAAAGAACAGTTGAACTTCAGAGAGAATCATCACGAGATTGAAAAAAAATGAAGAAAAAAGCATGACAAATTACATTTATCCTTTCTAGAGAGGAAACCATCTATTAAAATGAAATATTTTCTTCTTCCCCAAAACTTTCACTTTTAAAACCACTACCTACCAGCTAGTAGCTGACAATGCATGCCATTTTAGATCCCAAACTCTTCTATTTGTAACTGATCATCTTTTTTCTGAGACATTCTGGTTCACTAATGCCACTGAAAGTAGAAAAACAGCATAATGGAACTAAATTCTTGCGCAGATACCATTGCCAAAAGTGACTTTTAAATTGCTTTTGAACGAACCAGAAAGCTCAAGTTAATTGAACATGAGGATTCACGTAGCAAATTATCTCAGTACTAATGGTATGGAAGAAAGAAGCCTGATTAGTAAACCCTGCTGGATACTGCAATGTGAGAAGTCAAGAGATGCCAGAACTAAATCAGTGAGGTGAAGATCAATAGTTCTTTAATCAATGGTGGATTACAATGGGATTTATTCCGCTGAAACAAGCAGGGGCAGATAAATCCCCCACTGAGATTAATTACTGGGAAGAGTGGATGCAAAGAGAAGGAGTGCAGTTATTTTTGTGACAACTGTAAGTGGCAAGAAGAACGCCAGTGGGAGTACAGAGCTATTGCCTGGATCTCTGCTGGGGACCAGCAACACCCTCATCAAATTCCCACCACCTCCCCTTACTTCCTTACAACAAACTACCTTGAAGCCTGTGTACTTCTACAAACAGAAAACTTATAAACTAAAAAGCAGGGACAATATTTGGGGGGACAGGGCTGTTTTAAAGCTAATTAATAGCTTCTGAGCTATTTAATAAAAAAAAAATCTGTTTCATGGAGACAAAAGCACCAATGGGTGCAGTTAAATAATAAAAGCTTTATTCAGAAAGGTTGTCACTATATTCATAGCACCTACTTAAATAAAGGCGTTGTCAGTGCTGCTATGATGTCCTCCAGGGGTTATCAGCACAATCCATCATTACACAAATACTTCTCATTTCCATTGTAGCCTTTTGTGCTAAACACTACAGTTCCCACAAACTAATCACTAATGCATCATGCACTGGTGCTAAGTACTGTAAAATAAGACACTAAGCAGCCTAAGTGGAAGAGAGAAATCACAGAGCATCATCTCCTGCTTACAAAAATGATTTAGAAACAAGTCATGTCATGAATCAGAACTACTGTGATTTTGAACTACATAAGCAATGTAATAAAATGAAGAAAACAAACAGCTAACAGTCAGTATTCAATCCTTTACCAGCCCTAGGTATCTAGGTATCTAATTGCTCCCCTCACACCCACCCTCTTCATTTTATGTTGACTTACCTTATTAAGAGACAGCAGGTTGCAGAGTCCAGCAGATGTTAAATTTGCCAGACATAATCTGATTAATTTATTTGTTCACTTAAATGATTAGCAGCAATTGTTTGAGAGATATCTACCTTAAACCCTGATCAGGTGGTATCAGTTTGTCCATTTCATTTCTCGCAGAAAAAAAATATTTTCACTTCTAGTGTCATCCCAGCTGTACAGGTCGGTCTCTTTCTAAGCTGTTAATTCAGAAGCTTTCAAGTTTTTTCCTCTGAACTTTATCAGAAACCAACAATCATATCTATGTGGCAAAACAAGAAGTTCTTTATTGGGAAAAATGCAAGTTTAATACAGATATGAAATAAATTACAAAAAATGTTTTCAAAATCACCTCTCCGGGATACTCAAATTAATTGAAGGTGGAGTCTCAGTGAAGCAAAAGTCTTTCCCACATCATCTCTTACTTTAAAGCAGGTCATAAAAATAATCCAGGCCTTGTCCCAGTTCCCAGATGGATATACCAGTGCCCAATTCTTTTGCAAGCTCTAAGCGCAACTGGATGGACTAAGACAAAGACACATAAAGCAATTAGCTTTTAGTCAGAGGCATCAGACACTCCATGCTGTCATCTCTCTCTGCCATTAACAGACTTTAAAAATAACCATCCTTGAACTTCTGAAAAGCCCAAAGTCTGTATTTCAAATTTTCTCTGGCTAGCAAGCACTCATTCAGTAAGAGACAGTTCATTACACCGGTTAATTCAATGACCTAATGCACGATAACCAGCTAAATAGACAAAATGCCAGTGAAATAAATCTGATTTATGAACTATGCAAAGGACTGTTCTAATTTAAGCTATCATTTCCCAACGTACAGAAATTCTAACTCTTCCCAGAAATTTCCCAAGGGTAAAATAAAACTTCATCACTGAAGACAATTAGAGCCACCATCGAGATCTTGTACCTACCCTTGCCTTCTCCCAGGACAGAGTCATAATTTTCATTATCAGAATTCTATTTTTAAGAGATCTGGGAGATGAATTTAAAACATATCCTTATCTATGCTACTGACGTAGATTTGGTTTAGACACTGGTTTACAAGGGAAGTAACATTGCGTTTTGTGTTCTGTACTTCTGTCAGTTCAGACAATAAAAACAATTAATTTTTTTTTTAGTCTTTTACTTTCAGGTTTTCTTACTTTGAAGTGCAGCGCTGTTTGAACAGCTCACACCACAGGGATGTCTTTAAAACTCACTTCCACAGGAAACAGAACAAAATGTCAAGGTGTCATTAATACATCTACCAGCCTGGACTTCATGCCTGCCTTTAGCTAACCACGAACAAGTCAGTTTTGAGCAGCTTAACCTACCAGTGATTACAACATTAAAAAGGGGAACAAACACATTTGTGAGTGGGGAAATAAACCAAAATTCTATGTTCCATTGACCATTTTGATCGCCATGATGTGAACAACTCTTTGATTCACCTCAGCACACAGTCTCTAAATATTTCATTGCAATCTTGAAACCTACAGGACTGAATGTTCTTGTTCAGGCTAGGTCTGATTCTAGAAGGGTGAAATTTTAACACAAGAGCAGAGAGAATGCAATGTGATAACATGCAGCACAATCTGTCGTTTCTCTGATAGATTTGCAGTGAAATTTCAGGGCAGATACTAGCAAGAACACAGTTAGGCATAGCAATTCATATCCCATATGTGCTAGTACTTCCACCTGTTTTAGATTAATGAAGGGAAATATAGCTGTAACTAACAGAGCATAAGACAATATTCCCATTCAGAAAAATGGAGCTTTGGAAAAAGCTCACAATAGTATAACCATACTGAATGTCTCTGTTCTCTCTAAATATGATGTATTTCTTCTACAGAAGCCAGAAGAGGCTTAAAATTCTTTAGTTTAATTGGAGAAAATCTAAAAGTAGCTCACTAGGAATTAAGGCAAATAACCATTTATCATGTATTTTGGTACACTGCAGACTACTCTGTGGACAGAAACTGTATGTCCAGCCAAAGGACTTCAGTAAGGTCGAAGTTGTTCAGAGGGCAAATTTTGTCAATCTCTTCTCTGACAATCCAGCATCTGTTAGCACATCAATTGTGTGCTCAAACAGCTCCTTCCAGAGCTCTGGTTTGCTCTGGTGTCTGTAATCTCTAGACATGGCAAAGCTTCAAAGACCCCCTGAACCCATTATGCCTTAGACAGAAAAAAAAAGTCTTGCACAGGAAGCTGAAGCCTTTTATCATAACAACAGGGTGAATTCTTTCACAAAAGTCTAAACCCAGTTCAGTATTTTATGAAGTGTCTTAATCATCCAAGTCAAGTAAATACTTCTTTCCTTTTACTGCCATTGGCCAGAAAATGTCACACTTACCTTCAGTGTTGGATAGAAGATGGCATGTTTTCCTCCTTTATTTCTAAAAATAAAGGAAAAAAAAAGTAGTCACAATCGCTTTAGTAGACTCTCTTACAATTTTTAGCTGAAAAAACAGTTCTATTCCTTCCAATAATAAGGAAACAAAGACAGTGCTTAAGAAAACTGCTGACTTTATTGTGAAAAAGATATTGCTTTCAAAAATAAGATATGCTAGTATGTTCAGTACTTGGGAATTAATACGTCCATATCAAACATAGAGACCATCTGCAATTTAGTACCTTGTTTAAGACGTTTTGCTAATGGCCACTTCATTCTGGATGCTGAGACTGACTCTCAAATTAGACAGTTTCGCCATCAGCTTCCATTCAGCCCACACCTGGCTACAGCATAGGGCCAAAGTGTTCTCTACTGCTCTTCCATTTCTAATGCAGACAAAAACTTCTGCCCTTTCTGCTGTAGATACAACCACATCAGAGCACATGAATCCAAAGTGGTGGGGAAAGTAAAGGAGTTAGGGGAAGGTACCCCTGCACTGTATATCTAGAAGTCAAATAAATGTGCAGGTATCAGTTACAGGAGTATCTATCAGAGTATCTTGCAAGGTATTTATTTACTGTACTCGAGTGGTCTTTAGGAGGACAACATTTAAAAGAGGTAAAACAGCTAAAACAGAGACTCCAAGACATCCAAGAAGATGCAAAGTGAGAAGGAAATCTCACAATAGAAATGGGTTGATATTAGATTTCAGTAAGTACACCCCAGTATCTTCCTGCAACTGGGTGCAACATTGTAAAACCATTCAGTAGTAACACAGAGATGTGCCTACTAAATGCTTACCTAGAAGAAGATAAAGACACTTGGTTGTCAGATGGAAACTGAACAATTTTCCTGAATAAATGTCTTTTATGTTAAGCTAAATACTAGTATAAGGTGTATGGGCAGGGCAAGTTTCACTGGGCACAAATGCCAAGGTTGCACTTTAAAACTCCAAATAATGAGAAGGATGAGTTAGAGGTGGTCTCGAAGCATCAATTCTCCAGTTAGGCTAGAAGGAAATGCAGAGTGCTCGGCCAGACCAAGTGGACACTGGCTGGTAAAATCACTCATCTTGAGCAAATGTGTACCTACAGTATAGTGCACTTAGAGACAATAGATTCCTGTAACTGTCTGTAGTAGTTAGTCTCTGCCCACTACTGTACTTTGCTTGAAGATTGGTAATTTGATTTCTTAGCAATTGCAGACATGCAAGATTGGCTGGTGAGGTGTTTTACTATTGCTGCATATTCAGGCTTTCCTGCTCTTTCTATCCAAAATAACTGGAACTTTACAAAGCAAGGTGGTCACTGAAAAAGCTCTCTTAAATAAGCCTCCCCTGCAGTCAGCTGAGCCACTGCAGACACGCTGAGATGCACGACTGCCTGCCAGCCACAGCATAGCTGGAGTTTAGAGTGATTTTCTGATCCAGTTTGTTTTACGCATGGAAAACTCTTTCAGAAAGCCTACAAACAACATTATCTCCAAAGACTGCCTTTTGAAGGCAAATGAGGTAGTGCTACTGCCATGCCTTCTCTTTTCCATGTCCTGTTTGGAAGAAGACATTCAGGAAATGCTTCAAGAATGAATCCCAGATACCTGCCATTCAAACAGAGCCCTCAGATTTACTCTCGAGAGCAAGTTGTCATCACATGGCCATTGTGCCTCCCACTGGATTTTGCATTAAAGATTAGTAAAACTAAGCCTCTGGTTTATTTATCCTTAGTTAACATGAAAAATCTCTGAACTCTTTTACACAGAGTAACTGTACAACAGGATACTGCAGAATTAAAAAGGAAAGAACACAGATTTAAGTCCTTTCAGAAAAACATAGAAAATAAATTGAAACACTGCTGACCAGAGGTAAATGTATTTTGTTCTGATAAGAAATGCATGTAGTTGAGGAGTTTACAAGGCAGGATAAAATTGCAGGTTGAAAGAATCCTAGAACATTAATTATAAATATACAGATAGGACAGGGCTTTTGTTGTTGTTTCTTTCTTGAGTTTTAAAATATTTCAATCGAAAAGGTATTTTAAAAAATGTACTAACTCTGCTGCTTTTTTCTTAAGGCACCTCAAAATGCATTTCACTCATTTTCAGTGGTGTGCTCTCTTCATGCTGTCAGTGCATTGGGTAGTATACAAGATTAAGTTTTGGAGCAACACTGAGATCTTGTTTGTAGAATTTTACCATGTTTTTTTAATGTTTGTATCCAATATATAGCAAATTATTACTGAAGCTTAATGAGATTTTGCTGTTTGTCTGTTTTGAATGAACTTTTACTGAATCTTTACATGAATATTTACATGATGAATTCTCATCATTTCATGACGAATAAAGAAGACAGCTATTAATTATTCTCTTCACACTCTTGGGAAAACATTCCCAGTCTTTTTAACAACTTCTGTTACTCACCTGATACTCCATAATGTTCTCTATAATCCATCTCACATAGTGCAGGCCAATCTAGATTGCTGATAGATTGCTGACCAATCTAGTCAGTAGGACTTGTGAAGGCTCTTATATTCCACAGACTGTTTGGAGAATTACATTTGGCTGATTATTAGCAATCACCTAACAGCTCAGAGTACTCATTTCAGATGCACAGTGTAAACGGCACTCAGCAGATAATTTTCATGGATAACTTCTAAAGATATGACTCATCAGACTTCTCTTCTTAAGATTGTTTTAGCTTGTATTATTTCATTAATCCTTCCCTGGTTTAATTCCCTTGCCTGAGGCACGCTTATACTAGAGTTCCATGTTGACACACAGATCACAGACATCAACATTTCCATTTACTGATTTCAGTTGCATACTACAGTTAACTGGTAATTCATTGTGCGCTGGGCCGTGTCTAAGAATATTTGTAGAACAGTTAGTGAATAATTGTAACTCACTTTTTGTATTCAAAGTAGTGTTCAGCAATTTGTTCATCCCAGACAATCTTTGGTTTGTGCTCCTTCAAGGTTTCAATGTACCTACAAATTAAAAACACAAATATGAAATTAACTACTTTTCTAAAAATCAGATATGAATTAAATAACAGACAGTCTTGAAAACACAGTTTTACCATGCTTAGATGTCAAATATTGTATCAAAATGTTCTTGATTACAAATCATTTTCTCAGCACATTTCCAATTTGCCATGTTCATGTTTTTAAGCTTTTTTATTTAAGCAAAGGAATTTACATTCATTAGTTAAAAAGATCTACAAAGACACAGGATTTCACTACGCTTCAATATTTGTATAGCCTAATTCTTATATGCCAAAGGAACTGAAATTAGTCCTAGAGGCTAATTAAGGCACTTATTAATTTTAACTCACTATTATGTGAAAAAAGCTCTCCTATAAAAGGAACTTAGTTAATGCTCTAAGAATGAAATAAAAAATGTAAAGCTTATTTAAAAGGAAAAACTACTACTATGAAACCTTTAGAAAAATTATCTACACCACTCTTTTCTTGGCATTATTTTCTTGCAATGGACATTTTGAATGGGAGATTGTCTACCTCATATCTAAGTGACATAAAGCAAAGACAGAAAATTACTTGTACACAAAAACTGCGCAGGGAACCAGTGTGGAATGGTTAGGATGGTCTAAGCTGGTGTTCTTCGTCCCCAGCATTGTCTCAGTGTAGGGACAGCATCTCCCTGTGTCTGCATCTCTGACTGCACGACTGAAACAATGCTGCCTGCTGCCTCCTGGAAGTCCACCAAAAAGTGGCAAGCTGCTGCCAAGGACAGCACCACAGTCATGAGAGGAGTCTCTTCCACATGTTCTTCCATCCCTTCTGCATCTTTGGCCAGAAATAAGGCTGAAGTAACTCTTCTGATGACTTTCTGGACTACATATTAGGGGGTTTATCTGGCCATAGTCCATTGGTTTCTGTTTTTCCTTGGGGATTGTATCAGCAGTTTAAATCTCAACTCCCATCAGCAGTACTCCATCTTTTTCATAATTATATTAATCAATCACAAGCAAATACAGTTGTCATAAGTAGCAGTAAAGATTATTTTTCTATCAGTCGATTTTATAGAAAATCTGTTAAAACTGTGTCTTTCATAATACGTCTCATTTCTTCAATAACATTTCTGCTCATGACAAGATTTGCAGGGAGAAATATGACTTCAAGTCTTATTTGAAATTTCTACCTCCTAAGTAAAAGTTTTTATAAATAATTTTAATCTGATACCACCCTGATCTTGTAATTGCTGAAACTCCATTTCACGGGATAGGAAAGAGAGGGAGAGAGGGAGAATTTGCAATTCTGTGTGAGAAAGATTCACTCTCTCCTTCCCTACTAATCTAAATCACAACATTCAGCACTGCAGGGAATAGTTGTTCTTCTGCTGTGGTTAGTACATTGGTAAATTGTCACCTATTGGCAGAACCATTAGAAAATATTTTCATTTCATATTTAGGCCAGCCCAGATGTGCTCCTTAAGCATCTACATAAGCAAATAAATGAATAAATAAATAAATAAATAAAAATGATAGCAGCTACTGCACTATTCCTCAGTACACACACACCCAGTAACAACATACCTTCTCAAATAATCATAATTAAACCTTGGAAACTTCCCTACCTTTTTAAAGAAATACAAAATGTTAAGTTGTCCCATTAGAAAAATATGTAAAGAGATCTAGTTTTGTGTATTGAACATTCAAAGATAGTTTTTTAACCCATTCCAGAATGGTGACCTCAATAATAATGGGAAATGCAGAATATAGGACCAAGATGTTGCAGCCAAGAGTTACCAGTCAAGGCACCCTGGCACACAGTTTCCTTCCTGATCACATATCCTTTGATGGGAAATTCTCACTTCTGCAGCTAAAAAAAAACCAAGATTATAGAATGTCCAACACACATTTGAGCAAGCTTTAGAATCAGAAGTGTAACTTGCAGCAGTCATTAGAGCCTACTACATATAAGATATTATTATAATAAAGCTGTTCAGGTAAGCACCTTATTTAATAAGGACCTATCCTGACCACGCACTGGGAATTTATTTCCCTTTCTCCTGCCTCCAGGCATTTATCACATGGTATGTAAGAGCAAAAATGAAAGAATTCATCTTTAAATCACATGTAAAGTGATGATGCTAGCTCCAAGCATGAGTTAAGGAAAAAAGAAATATTAGGCACAAAATTGACATGCTTTCCATTAATCTTGGGGGTCCTACTTGAAATGCATTAAGTTGTTATTAACGTTGTCTGTATTAAGGACAACAAAAATTCAAAGTACAGTGTTAAAAACAGTTAGCTCCCATTCAGTTTGAATTCTACTGCATGCAGACAACTCCCACATACTCCATTCTTCTCTACCCTATCTGTGCATTGTATAGTAGTGCTACACCAGCATATATTGCCTCTTAGTTGAGGCGGTACTTGACTCCACAAACGTGTAGTTACTTAAAAAAAAACAAACAACAAACACAACTGACACAATTTTCCATTATGCTGAGCCACACAAGTATGGGATACAAGAGTTCTGGATTCATTTCCAGGTTCTGAAGGAGAAAAAGTGATGGGCAGAGAGCTCATCCCAAACAGCCTTCTCTCTTCTGAGAGAAAGCATAAGAATCTACTATCCAGCTTGCAGAAGGGGTGTGCGCATACTATGTGTGTGTTGAATGGGAATAACCCAAAACTCAAATGTAAAATGAGTTATGCACACACAGACAAAACTAAACCAAGATCAGGCTCAACTGCACGCCTGTTTTGACTACAGTACGCACAGCCAATCAGAAGAAGATTGACATTACATGTTTTCTTTTACCAGTCTGTTTCAGTTACAATAGCCTTAACTTGGTTATTAAACTTTGAATGTAGCAGGAACTGCATCTCCGTGCCCACAGATGGTTCCTATCCTAGATAGGACCCATCTTCCCTTTTTCAGACAGTTCTATCTCTTAATAAAAAACAGAGAAAATATGCAAAAAGTTTGTATTCTACAGTTCCAGAGTTTGGATTTCTGATGTTAAACAAACCGAGAGAAACAACTACAAGATGGTATTCATGGTAGTACTCCTAAGAACATTCTTTATCTTGGTATGCATATTTCAAACAGTATTGAGCACTCTCCATGCTGCTCTGTGTACATCAGGGCACTGTGTTAAAGGACTAATAACTTCCTTCAAATCAAGATTTTTTTGGAGGAAATATACATATATATGTATAATCTAGTACTAAGGAACTTGGTTTAGTGGGCAATATTGGTGGTAGGTGGACAGTTGGACTAGATGGTCTTAAAGGTCCTTTCCAACCTTAAATGATTCCATGACTCAATAATGGCTTTTTGTTAGTGTTGGATTTCAACTACCACAATACAGACAACTTTCATATTGTAGCTGTTCAGGCTTTACTTGTAGCTTTCCTTTTGGTGAGAGAAAATGTCAAGGAAGAACATAATCAGGAGACATTTTAAGACTTCACATCTGAGTAAAGCCAGCATTGGTAGTGCGAGAAACAACTCTTTAAAAAGGTGCTTTTTGGCGGGTAGTGAGAGAACTAGAAAGATATGGAATTGGCCAAGAGAAATTATACAAAACCGATGATGGGCTGTCATAGTTCTGAATATGTCAAAAATAATTTTGTATTCAAATATTCCATTTTACAGCTGCAGCAGAAAATATTGTAGCTTGCGTCTGAGTCTCAAGCTTCCTTTCTGGCCTTTCTCTTTCTTTTTTAAAGAACAGTTCTAAAGAGTATCTGCAGAAATGCTGAATATACAAGAAGCCAGAGAATACCTTCAATGGTAATAAATGAAAACATAAAAGGAAAGAGAATGTGAAAAAGGACTGTATAGATATTTTGCATTCTCATTCCATTGACACCTAAGACTGCAGCTTGCAAATGGTAGAGAAGTCTTGAAGTTTATTAACCTTTAGATATAAGTCTTTACAAGCATGCATAAATTCATGAAAAGGCTAGCTGCAGAGTCAGAAATTGCATAGTAGTATGTGTACATATAAATATATAGTAATAAACAGGGTGAGGATCCAAACACACACGTTGCTGAGTGGTAAGTGTCAGTGAACAAGAAGGTAAGTTTCCACCAGACAGGGATCCTAAGCATCCTTTTACCCATTTCCTCTCAGTGTTCAACACTCAGTAACAAAATATTTACTTAGAATGTGCAAGCATAAACTACTGACTTCAAATAATCTGGACTTCACTTAACACAAATTCCAGAAGCAATTTCAGTAGCAAACGAGATATCCAAGAAAAAGACAGCTACTACATACCTTGGAGAATCAAAAGAGCAAGCTAGCAAACATAAAATCAGATTTGGCTTTGAGGATTCATGCGTTTGAGAGGGGTGGAGAGCACATCTAGAAGCCTTAGTTTATTCTGTCTGCAGGGTATAGTACTTAAAAATAATTCTGTTAACATCTTCCGACTTTTTCATGTAAAACAAAACCAAATGCAGTATTTGTGATGTGCTGAGTACATCCAAGTAGCAGTCCAGAAAGGAGGAATCTATAAACAAGCACCAGTTTTCTCCATTAATCCTTTCTCTGTTGATTTCCTTCATTTACAGAAGGAAGCTCAAACACAGCATTTCCACATATATGGGTATGTTAATAGTGTTCCTTATCCTCATTGAACTCTACAGTGGTTTGATAAAGAACAAGCCCTGTCTCAGAGCTTACTCAGTACTGAAGCAGGTGAATTATGCAAGGGAACTGAAAGTACAGCTGAAAGTACTCTAATGGATGCTATCTTTTCTCACTGTAACCAAAATGGTTCTCCTTTATAAAAAGGAAAACAAAGTTACACCTGTAAATGGATGAAAGAATAGTAGAAACCACAGATGAGGCAGAAAAAGATGTGCATATTTATGTATTTGAGGTTTTGACTCAAACTGACGGATACAGGAGGAACACTTGAAAATCTCAAAGAAAACAAGAGATTTATTTCTGAACCATTAAATATTTCCCAGACAACAGGGCCACGGCAGGCTGAGGCAAAAGG